GACCCACTTAACCGAGCCCGATACCCAGCCCACACATCTTAGTCGCTCTTGGACCGTTGGATTGACCCGTTGATAAACGGTTGATGATATTATCTATAAATAGGATCCTTAGCTCGTGTTTGGGAGCTGGATCGTCATTCTGTTCTCTGATTTTTTCTCTCTGCCTTCTGGAACCTTCGTGTTCTTCGTCTTTGTGACTCTTCCTTCTTCTCTGTGTGAAAGTTCTGGTTGATTATCTTTGTGATAATTGTGTTCTTGTGTGATTCTCCTTTGTGTGAGTAATCTGCTGAAGGTAGGCAGTCCTTTTTTGGTTTCCAGTGAAGCGACCTTGATATGTTGGGGTTGTGAGGGCTTGTGTTTGAGTCTCGATGCCTCTGTGATGGTGTGAGGGGCGTGGTCTGAGCCTACAATTGAAAGATCTAAACCTTGATGTAGTGGTTTAGGATTTATATTGTAATCTGCAGTTTCCACATTTAGGTTGAATATTTTCCGATCTTGTTTTAATAGGCGACATTGATGGTGGCAAGTTTGATTGCATGTTTGTAATTTTCAAAATGGTGATTTGTAATGATTTTTGTGTTGGTGGGTGATGCAAATTTTTTATCATTTAGATGGTTGCGGTGGCAATGACAATGGGAGGTGATGGTGCATGGGTAATAAGTTATAATTTCAAAAAATTATACTTCGTAATAGCAAATACAACAATTTCAAAGAAATTACATACACTGTAGCATGACTTAAATATAAGTTAACATAGAAGTATGTTGCAATTATTGTAACTTATTAAATGTAGGTTTTATATTATTATTTTTTACTGTAAAACAATTACATAAATTTTAACAAAAAATTAACATAATTTAAGAGCTACCTTGTTTTCTAAAGAGAAATTAGACACAATACTCTACAAAAAGAAAGAACTGATGAATGTACTTAAACTAAATTAAAGCTTTAATAATCGTATTAATTACATCAATTAAAAACATAAAACATTTGAAAGTCAGCAAAATCATTTGAGAGACAATCGGCGACACTCCCAAGTCTGATATTTTTCACTTTTTAAAATTTTTATTGTTAAAAAGTTTTCTTTTTATAGGATATTTTACGCTATATCCATTTTGAGCAATTCAAAATCTATTAGAAAACTTGTAACATGGGCATGATTTATATGTTACGGACAAAATCTAAATGTCAAAAATTATCTCGCGTGAAGTATTGAACGCAAAATAAACCATAATAATTAAGTCTATTTCTTTTTTGCCATTTTTATTGTTGTATGAACTTGTCATTTATCGATTTTTAAAATCAAAAGAAGTATTTCAAAGTTTGTTGTAAATACTTTGAAACGATAACAAAAAGCTCACCTAATGAGTGAAGAAATACAGGCTGTAAATAATTTAAAAGAGGTAACACCAAAACAAAATAAAAGAAAAAATACTTATTCTGTCACTTTTATCACATTCTCTTTTTCGCAAACACCTTGAATGCATCAATTGAATTGATTCAAATAAATATGAATTAAATGCAAGGTTAAAACAAGGTTTAAATTCATATATCTAAGTTTTAAAAAATAAACACGTATGCTTCTAGTTAATTGTTCCAATGAGATAATGCGAGTTTTTCATAATAATAAAAAGACAGAATGTCACTTTTTCATATTCTCATATTTGCAAACATGCATCAATAGAATTGATTAAAAAAATGTGAATTAAATGCAAGATTACAATAAAGTTTGAATTCGTATATTTAAATTTCCAAAGATACACAAGTATGCATCAAATTAATTGCTCCAATGAGATATTATGATTTTTTAATAAAAAAGTGACAAAATATCACTTTTTCACATAATCATTTTTGCAAACACCTTAAATGCATCAACTGAATTAATTTAAAGAAATAGGAATTGAATGCAAGATTAAAATAAAGTTTGAATTTATATATTTAAATTTTCAAAAACACATATGTATGCATTTAGTTAATTGCTCCAATGAGATATTGTGACTTTTTCATTGGAAAAGTGATGGAATGTCAGCCTTTTACATTCACATTTTCTCAATAAGAATGCTATTTGAACACTATTGGCTTACACTCTACCTAACAGAATGACTTGGCATGGTTCTAAAAATGGACAAAAACAAAAACAAAATGCCAGCATGTGATGGACAGAAAATATTAAAAAATGGATGTCCCTTTTCATTTTCAGAGAGGCTGCAAAATATTAAAAATTGTAATGTGTTAATGGATCTTGTATTGGAAATTAGTTTTAACAAAGGATGACGATCATTTCTTCCCCTTCTCCATGCCCTTGCGAAGCGAGACCCATTTCTTTCTTTCTTTCTGCCCCCAGGGCACATCTCCAAGTGGTAAAATGGGAGGGTGGAGAAATTCAGTTTTGCTTGAGGCTGCCGCGTCAAGGGTTCGAATCCTGAAATATGGATTTGGCTCTTGGATAAGTGCAAGTGTACAAGCAGCCTTCCACCCTGTACCCTTGGAGGCATAACCTGCGATTTACTTCTCTCACGATACTTCAGGGTAGGAGCGGTGGGGGACCCTTAAGGTTGGGGTTCAACCTTTTTTTTTTTTGAGACCCATTTCTTTCTACTCTTCAAAAGCCCTTTTTTCACTTAAAAAACCAGTCCCATCTTTTATGTTAAATGCAGCAAGAAATGGGTTTAGTTATTGGTAATTTTCTAAACTGTTCACCTCCCTTGTTTTATAATGTTATTTTCTTAGTTTTAAAACTACAGATCATTTTAATCTCCTAATTATCCCGTCTCTTTTCAGTATCCTGAAATTGGGGGTTTTCTTTGATAGGAATTTTTTTTTTCAACGTGGGATTTGGGATCGGGTCTATGTTGAGATCTTTAGTTTTAGAAATGCTGTTCTAGTAAATCGATTTTGAATTTTTTATTTTCATTTTTATTCTATATCTTGTATTGGAAATTAATTTCTCGAATTTTGGTTTAACATTGTTGTTCGTTTTTTGTCACAGGGAAGAGAAGATTATTTTTGTCGCCTGTAGGGTTCATCCAATTTGGGGATGAAATTTTGGATTTGAGTGCAATATTATTTTATTAAATAATGTATGATTGAAATGATGTCAAAATACTATTTAAGAATACATTTTTTCAAAGAATGGAGCTCAAACAAGGGCTAAGACAATGTTTAAATTCGTATATTTAAATTTTCAAAAATACAAAAGTACGCATCTGAATAGTTGCTTTAATAAGTTACTGCGACTTTTTCATGACAAAATCTCACTGTTCACATTCTCATTTTGGTAAACACCTTAGATGTATCAATTCAATTGATTCAAAGTTGAGTTTTCATGGGTATTAACGTAAAATATGGTTTGAGTTCATATATTCAAATTTCAAAAAATGTACATATATATAACTAATTGCTCTAATGAGACACTGTGACTTTTTTGGATAAAAGTGGCAGAATTTACATTCTCAGTTTTGCAAACACCTTGCATTTATCAATTGAATTGATTCAAAGTTTTTCATTCTCATATATGTTAACCGAATCTATTTCACCTCAAGACCAACAATTTTATTTTCAAAAAAATTTCTAGTCGTAATAGCAAAATCATCAATAAAGAAACTTAATAAATGCCAATTATTTACATTATAAGGTACTAACTAAATCTAATCACAAAATTCAAAGAAAAGTGGTACAAACATGCTCTGAGACGATTAGAATTTGTAAGTAGGAGTTTACTCAACTCGAAATTGATATTTATGTTTGATGCTATCGTAATCTATGCAAAATGATAGAATTGGGGGAACTAAGTAAACAAAAAATCAAAACATAAAAAGCCTGTAATTTTTGTTTGGGTATTTTCAGATTTGGGGGAGAGAACTTTGAAGAATGGTAGTTGAAGCGACCTTGATCTTGTTTGTGTTTGATTTGTGAAGGATTTTCAGTTTTTCCTTTCAATTTTCCTTTGATTTTTCGAGCTTGGAGGGCTGATTTTTGACAAACTGCCGTGCATTAGGTTTGAGCGTAAAATATACATTCAATTTTGACTATCTGCCATTTAATCCAAGTTTATCATGTTTTTTCAAGACTATCCCAAAATATAGGGTATTTGTTTAAGTACGCCTTTTTTTTAAAATTAATATGTATATCCCTAATTGTTCAATTTGAGCCCTAAAATGTTTGTAATTGCGTATTTAACCATCGTTTCTATGGTAATCCCTTAGACCTAATAGCATTATTTGGATCCTACTTCATGTTGATAAAAATATAGGGAAATCTGAATACGTTAATGAACTCCAAGGCACGAAAAAACGTTATTTTAAGAGATGTTTTGCCCCTATTCAACAAAGTCACAATTGGGGTATGATAGAAAATATCTCTCAGGATACAATGGAGGCGTTTGATTCAAATTGTGACTATTTGATCAAACCAAGAAGACACTTGAAAATAACCGATTGATGCCAAGAGAAAGAAGGAAGAATAAATTGTTTAATGTGTTTGCAAATGAGAATTCGCCCAGAATTTATAGAAACTGAGGCAACTGTTTGAATAGGTGTATCTCTTGAAATCCTTGCGTACATCTATTGGAAGTGACTGTTAAAAATGAAGAGATGCGTACATCTATAGGTCGAACCCCGTTGCGCAGCGACAAACACTAATCCGGGCGGCAAATCATTCGCAAAACAAAAAATTAAACACATGCAAAATGATGAAAAATATCTAACACTTCAAACATTTCAAAGGCGAGAAATTTATGGGCTATATAGCACAATGTGTTAGTATAGATCAGAATTTTTTTTCCCTTTTGCTAACTTTCTTTTTCTGTCATTTTATCTTACAAATTTTCATTATTTAGAAAATATGTTGACGTAAGTCCAAGAAAAAATTATTCATGTTGACTTCATCAGATTCTGTTCTAAGTATATCAAGCTAGGTTGAGCTCCTTCAATTTGGTCGTTTCTTGAGATATTTCCGTTTCATATATTAACATTTGAGATATATAATGTCCACACACGGAACAAAAACGACAACACGGGAGTTTACTTTCATATATAAATGCGGTATACACTTTCCATTTTTCCTTCTCTAATTGAGATCCATCAAGCAGAGAGAATTGACACGAAGCAACAGAATAAAAGAAGACACAAACAATAGAAGGAAAAGTAAATCAAACAAACAGTACATACACGACACTCGTGATTAATTTAATTGTTCGACAGTCTTAATGTTTCCGAAGAGCGAAAGCAGACAGAAAAATGGCGAAAATGAGGAGAACGACGGTGACGAACGCCCCCACCACAGCCAAACTACTCGCTTGGCAGAAATCAGTGAACTGCTGACATATTGCCAGCCAATTTGCATTTGAATTCCCATTGTGAGCCAAGTACACTATTGCAGCAGATGATCCAGCTGCAGCAGTTGCCAATGTGACAAACACCTGAAGATGATATTTAAAAGTTAGTCTTTTGGAAAGACCATGCATTTATTTATTTAAATTATATCTTCAATATTTTCTTGGTTAGGAGGCTTACAGTGTCAAGGATAATCAGGAGGAGCCTTGGTCCGACTGCAAGAGGGCGAGCGATACACACTATTGAGAAGGGTATGGAGAGGACAAGGTATCCTGTAACTATTGCCATTGCCACGACAAAGAATCTGCACCATATTTGAGGCATCACTATAAGATTCTTGTATGAATAATGTTATGTAGCAACAGTAGTGCTAGAATATTAGTCTACGTGATATTATATGAGATGTTCAATTAATATGAAATTATGTAATTACTATAATCAAACCTTTCATTTAATAATGCATATTGTCATCTAAACTGGTGTTGTAACACCAGTGATGCTAAATAGTATTACTCTATTAGTATACGTAATCGTTAGTGTATGTGGTAGTGAACTTTTTGATTCATTATTCAATGTGTTAAAATGTTTAATGCATTACAGTTGCATTGGACAATAAAAGAGTCCACTATCTACCTACACCGTTGATAATATCTATTATTGATGAAGAAGAATATACTTTTTATATGATTTTCATTACATCACTTAATTAATATAGGAAGAATACTTACGTGAAAGTTGGGAGATCATCATAACTGGCTTGGAACTGGAAGAACTGAGTGAAGAAAGGAAGGGTTTGTTCAGCGGTGCCCATGATGACTGTTGCACCCAAAGCTGAAGACACAGCGCTTATTCTCAGTATAAGATCGAATATAGAAATGCCCCTCTTGTACCGTCCCCTTCCATGCACGGCCGCCACTGGTGGTACCGCCCCCAAAAGTGGCGCTTTCCCTTTGCTTTCTTTGCTCGTCTCTGCAATCTCAATCTTGGTTGACTCGCTCTTCTCCATGTTTAAGTTAAAGAGTAAGCTAAAGATAAGTCGACTTAGTATTCGTGAAAAAGAGAGTTCACAGCTTGTGATGAGAATGAGAAGAAGAGCAGAAGGATATTTATATGTGGAGAGGGATGCATAGAAGTTGGTTTTGGAGAATGAATTCTTTTTTGTTGTACAAAATAGAATCCCAGCTCATTGTTCTGTTAATGGAGTAAGAAGAGTTAGTTGCCAACTTTTCCCATATGACTACTATACTTTTTCAGCACCTTGTGAAAAGGCTTGATACGGTGTTGGTAAAGATACGTTTCTTTTTTCTTTTTCTATTTTCGAGGAGAATACAGTGATTAAGTATGGCAAAAATTAATGTTGCAAAGAAACAATAACTATCAATTAAGATTATTTTTAATTTCATAAGTAATCACACTAGATGATAACATTTAAGTATATTATTATAACACACTATTGGAACAAATGAAAAACATATATGGCTATGAAAGAGGGATTAAGTATTATAGTTTCAATTTTTTTTAAGGTCCCTCGTAATTAAGAAGTGTATTCATGACCTTTTGTACCGATTTCTCATGACACGTTAGTAATTCTCTATGCATGGATCTACTTGTTACTTGCTTGCCATGAGCATTGTCTATTTTGGATAGATAACTCTAAGGAGTGCATTGACATCCTTATAATATTTTGTTGTGTAAGGGGCTACGTGCGTCTTAAAATAGAGAACGACGATATATATATATATATATATGAAAAAAGAAGAAGAAGAAATAATTCAAATACAAGAAGAGCTTGTGTCAAAAATTGCTGCGTACAGAACTTTCAAAAAATTGTTGCATAAAAATATGAAGAACCATATGCAATTGAAAAAAAAAAAAAAAATACAAAGTAAGATCAGAATGTTAAAAGGTAAAATCTTACCTTGAACATGATAACAATAAATAATATATAAGGATTCCACTACTCTTTTAATAATGTTAACTTTTGAATATGGAAATTCAAAACTCAATAATTATGTAGTAGTATTAGGGGCTTTTTGGTATGTTTTTGAAAAGTCAAAAATTCCTTCTAGAACTAAAAAATTATTGGATTTTGTTATTTGTACATAAAAATGGTACATAAGTAATTATCGAAAATGATATGGAGGGAAAAGATTGAATGAGAAAGTTGGCTGTATTTTAAATTAGCAAATGATAGAGTATCATGTGTGTATTATATAATTTATTATGTAAATCTTAATGTACATATAGCAAGGTGCGAAATTATTTACCCTATGTTTGAGATAGTCAATGACTGCCTTGAGAAAGACTTGAGGATACTTGATAGTTTTAAACGTATTAATATTTTGAAACAAAACGCTTGCAGGTTTTGTGTGTGTGTGTGTGTGAAATTCTTTATGATTGTACAAAATTTTAATATTGTGAAAAGTCTCTATTTTTGACAACTCGTGATTTTTCGCAAATTTTCGAGTTTTCCATATAAATTTTTGTGTTATTTTTCTTCGTATATTTATATTTTTCTAGTTTCTAAATAATTCTTGAACAAGTAAATTCTCGTTCTCAAAAAATATATCTTAGTTAGAGCTATAGATATTATTAATTAACTATGAAATAAGCTGTATTCACTTAATTCTAATTTAACATGCTGACTTTGTTTAAATATATTGAATCTCAACTGCTCAAACTTCATATTGTACAGAGTCCATTTATAAATAATGCAAGTCGAACAAAGCAAGTTGGTGGCCAAACTCGTTCAGTTAACATACTTTTACCATGATAAGTTATACCACCCACTTCAACTCAGATTTTTCTTTTTGATTATTGTAACTAATACCCAATATAAGGTTCTGTTTCATGAATTAAAATATATACTTTTTCGAATTATATAAATATTTTTTAATTTCACCAAAAAAAAAATTATATATGTTGATATTAATAAGAAATTATGGCTCTAGTATCATTTACTTTTTATTAATTTTAAAAAATTATCGAACTTAATTTTTCATAAGTCAAATTTGTTGAATATTAATTCTTAATATTGAAAAATCTCTATAATACGAAGCTCAAGATTTTGTAATGGAGTTTTATTGAGGTGGTACAGGTGGTCAGATGTCATCTTCTCTTTATTATTCTGCAACTTTATTAGGAAAAAAAGGATTTATTATATTCTGCTTCAATATTTAATTACGTGATTATTAGTCAATAACAACCCTAATCCACCATTGCTTATAATACACATTTTTTTCCCTTTTTCAAAAGGGTAAAATCAAGAACCCAAAGTCGTGCTTTTAACATGAAAGACATGCTAATTTATATGTTTCTTTTTAACACAATCCTGTGTTATAAATATGAATTTTACAACTTTAGAACCGTGATTATTATATAAGAAAATTCATGTGCCACGTAACAAAAAAATAAAATGGTTAGAAAATTGTGACGAAAAAATTGAGCCGACTAAAATAAAAAGCCAACAAAGTTGGATGACTAGTTCGTTTTTTCCCCTTTTCAAATATATCTATTAAAAAAATTAATAATAAAAAATTCAATTCTTTCTCTTATATTTTGTGCATTTTGCATTACAATCCATATAAAATTCATAATTTTTCTTTTTAATATAAAGATTTAGCTGTTTGAAGTTCCATTCTAAGTTGAACACTTGTAACAATAGGTTCACAAATCAAGTGATCACAAATTGCATTAAAATCTCAAATCGGGGTGATCATTATTTGCATAGAAGTCCCCACGTCAAAATAAGAATCAATTTCTATGTTTTGAAAGGACTCATCTTGCAAATACAATTCTAACTTGGGAACTCCATTCCTTCCCGTCTTGCTGGAAATTTTCGGGAGATATGATAGCACAGACATTAAAACATCTCTACTAAAATACAATTTAAACAATTAAATATGAAATTTAAAAAATTAAAATTAAAATTGGACAAGTTCGAAATGGAGACCATGCTCCTTGTTGGATTTTATATGCAATAATAAAGAGATGAAAGAAAGGAATCAATACGAGTATTTATGTGGTTCAATGATGTGCATATATGCATGAGGAGCGAATCGGAGATAATTTTATTCAAACGTACGTCTAAAAAAAAAAAAAGGTTAACGCATATTTTCTTTTTTAGAAAATTCAATCATTTCATTAGTTTTTATTATTTTTGCACGATAAAATTTTCAATATAATTTATATCGTTTTATTAAGAAATTTTATTTGGAATATGATGTCAAAAATTTTAGGATCGTTACGTATTAAATGTAATTTGAATTACTTTCGAATTACATTTTCTTTAAATTTGAATTTCATATACTTCTTGGATTAAGCTTGAATTTTATTTCAATTCATTTATTCTCCACGTTCAATTTGATTCACTCACTGCAGGATCAGGATTTGTCAACGAATTGGTAAATAAAACTATATAAGTAGCTAAATTTATGTAATAATATTGATAATGATATAATTATACAACGTTTTTAAAGTATCAAAATACGTATTAACTTATTTTCATTAATATTTTATTATTTTTAAAAAAATTATATTTTAATTTTTGATCCCATAGCACTAAAATTCTAGGTTCGCCCCTACTCCCCGTACCTTCAACTCATTCAGTGTTCCTAGCAAACAGAGAGTGAATTTAAACCCCCAAGGTCGATACCATCGCTCCGCTCCATTCCGTTCAATGCGCTACGCTCCCCTCACTCCACTCTGGTATCAACCTATTTGATCTCGTAAACTTGTATTCCACTATATATGAGTCACACACACCACAATCTCCACATTGACGAATATTAACCCCTTAGGAGAAAAACACTGAAAACATAACCTGAGAAACCACACCATCTAAAACCAATGGGTTGAGATACATCCTCTCTAATACCTAGAGATGTTAGTTAAGTTCAAGCAACGCTTGAACCTATCCATTGTAATTGACTTTGTCAACATGTCTGCTATATTCTCTAAGGTATGCACATTCTCTAACAACAGTTCTCCTGAAATAACCAATTTCCTTATCTTATGAAATCTCACATCAATTTGCTTGGTTCTTGCATGATAAATTTGATTCTTTGCTAAGAAGATGGCGCTCTGACTATCACAATACAACTTCTTTCTATTTTGCTTGATCCTAAGCTCCTTGAAAAGCCCTCTCAGCCACAATAATTCCTTAGATGCCTCAGTTGCCGCCATGTACTCCGCTTCAGTTGTAGATAATGGTGTACCCACTGGTTTTGTATCGGACATGCTAAACCTCTCCAACTCTTTCTTTAAATAATTTTTCTAAGACATCCATAATTTTCTGACTTTCCTATCTTTGTTAACTCTATGCTAAGAATCTTCTTAGCCTGTTCCAAATCTTTTATATCAAACTTACTGCTCAACAAAGACTTTGATCTGTCTACTTCATTCATATTCTTAGCAGCAATTAACATGTCATCCACATTCACCAAGAAAATCTTATCTCTATTGATCTCTGTGCCAATAATCTTCTTAGCCTATTCCAAATCTTTCATATCAAACTTACAACTCAACAAAGACTTTAATCTATCTACTACATTCATGTTCTTAGTAGCAATTAACGCAAGGAAATATATGAATCATCTTGACAAACAGACTATGAATTAAAACTAGAAAGGCCGATGCCGTCGCTTTGCTTTGTTCCGTTCGGTGCGCTACGCTCTACTCACTTCACTTCGCTCCGCTTTGCTTCAGCCTATTTGATCTATTAAACTTGTGTTTCACAATATAAGAGCCACGTGAACAACTCTCCTGGTCCGTTTGTTTCCGTAGTAGGGGCAAGACAAGTCAAGGCGAGCATGGGTAACATCATTTTGTATTTCGAACCTACTTTTTTTTTTAATTATTTAGTTTAATTTTATTTCATTATCGTAATATTTTTAATATTTTACTATTTTTAAAGGAGTCAAATTAGTTATAAGAGTATATTTAATGGCAGATCTAGGATTAAAGGTCAGATAGAGTGGTCATATCATTGACCATTGATTGTCAACAGTCAACGATCATAATAGAGAGCTCATTTATGAATATTTAATTAATTAATATTTGAAAATTTTTGAT